GAAGAGCAAAACAATGCAGACATGTTATTTTCTTATCACATGAAACCATACTTGTCAACCCTCCCGATTTTCGCGGGAGACTCCCGATTTCATTGCCCTCTCCCGGTTTCCTCCCGGGGTCATATTTCTCCCGCATTTCTCCCGATTTCTGACAAAATCAGATTTACTCACGACTGTTTCCACTCGGACTTTAATACAGCTACACCATTGTTTGGTTTCCATGGTAGCGCGTCTCTTTAGCAGCGCGCGCAACTGAAAGTCTGAGAGGGTGAGGAAGATGAAAACTGAACAAGAATCAACAACTCAACCCTCTGCTCACTACTTTCCTGTAAAATACAGGTCCAGCCCACACATATGCTCCATGGTGCCACAGGCATTGCCCTTACAACTACAATAAGCATGCAAATGTTAATCTACAGCTCCGGCGATCCACTAGCACCGGAGTCTACACCTGCAGACAACTACTGTAGCGTCTCCTTGGATACGAGTCTAAACAACTCAGACACACAGGCCAGGGCGCTGACAGGGCGCCCTTTGAGCATCAGATCTGACGACGCTGATTGGCTGAAATTATGTTTCGGCGGCATAGTTTACAGATAACAACAGTCAGCTTGTTGGCTGCAGCTGCTCTGGCTGAGGGCTCCTTTCTACCGCCCGGACTAGAGAGGGTAATGATACACGCTGCGGCCAGGCAGGAAACATGTGACTTATCAGTAACTTTAGACATTGTAAAACAATTTTAAACGAGATTTTATTGTAGATTATACATTTTACTGATACCAACTATATAATATTTACCTTGTTCTTTAAAAATAAAAATAAAAAATATATATTTTTTGGAAATATATTTTTTTATTTANAACACGGTTTTCTCATAACTTCAGTGAAAATGCTCGAAATGGCGACAGATCATTCCCCATCAAGTTAGTTCAAAAGTTTTCAGTTCAAAATATTCTGCTGCTTTTCCAAGCCTTTTTACTTTCTTTTCTTTTCTCATCACACATTCAAGCCCCCAGTGTTCATGTATCATTTCAATCTAAATTCTTCACTTTCTTCTTACACATTACATTTCAGCATAGCAATTCAGCGTCAGCTTTTCAGCATAAAGCATTCCCACTAGCAATTTCTTCAGGAATTGCATTCTTTATTTGATTTTATTACCCATCTTAAGAATGTACATATATTGGGTAAATAGAATCCTTATTTTTGCACCTCAACCTGCATTCCTGATTTGTGCGTACCCTGGTCCTTCACAGAAGGTATTTACACTCGGTCAAAGATGCTTTTGTGGAAGAAGAAATATCTTTTTTAAAATCAGTACATTTTCAGGAATTGATTTAGTTTTTTGTTTATATAGGACTAAATTGACCTTAATGTTTTACAAAGATCATTCAGTCTTACCCTGTAATTGTCTTCTCATCCCTCACAGGACTGATTGACTACAACTTCCACTGCTTCAAGAAGGCCATCCAGGAAGTGTTTGATGTTCGAGTTCAGGTTCAACAAAACCGTAAACTCCTCAGTCAGAGGAGGTGGAGCAAACTCTCTATGACCAATGGAGTGCTGAGCAACCCCCACTAATGACATCACATCAGACAGCCAAATGAACCCTGACACATCCTGGAGACTCCGTCCTGGTCCAGGTGAGGCTAATCTGAGGCTCCTGGATCTGCTTGATCATGTTTTTTTTTAATCTTTTGCTTGGAAACTCAATCCACATCAAATCCACCTCCACCGTCTCTGTCCTCAGAAGCAGTTTGTCTGCAGCACAGAGGACAATATTTCATTTGATCTGGAGGACTTTTTCTACACAGTCTTTTGAGTAGACTCAATAAGAAGTACATGCAGATTCAGTGACTTTATCTCTCTTTAGCAGGCGGCAGCAATGTGCGTCCCATCAATCCTTATACCGTTAATAAGTAAACTCATAAACAGCAAGTTATTTCCTGATTTGATTTGCAAATTAAGAGATTTTAGTCAGAAAAATGTGATGTGTATATAATATAAAATGACTATAATATGTTTTGTTTGATAGTCTATGAAACAGTCCATAAACAATTTCTTTATTTCATGTCAGATGACATTGTTGGTTAATGATACTAAAACCTACTGTATATCTGACTCAATCTAATAGGCATCATTGCAATACAACCCTAAAATGAACACATTTACCAGACCTTTACTCAAGTAAACTGAAAAGCTTCATTTCATCAGGACTTGAAAAGTGGGGTTATTTTTACATTCATTTAAATGTTCTGAAAAAATGTTCACCCCCCATCAGTAATAATTACATCTGATATTACCTGCTGTTCTTCCCGAAACTCTGTGGTTTTCCTGTTTTTACATTATTCAGGGTACCTTTATTAACAGCTTAAATGTCATTCAACAGAATTGTTCATTACATAAAATAATATGCAATAATACACCATATCATAATAAAGACAACATCCTTTGGCTAAATGTATCACCTTTACTGTTCAATTCTAATTTATATTTACAACAAATCACAGCTTTATAAAAATGTCATATATATCATTCAAATCTAGGAACGTGGTCAGCCGCACCTCACCACTGAGCATGTTTCTGCTTCCTCCCTGCTCAAGAGTTCTGATAGTATTTTCAAAAATGTTAATGAGGGCGACCCGGGACTGTATCCACTCGAATTTGGAGGTTTTTCTCTTGTATTTATTTTAGGCCAGCCTTTAACCTGTTAAGCCCGAGAGACCCCGGTACCGGGGCCTCCCGCAACATCTCGCAGGAAACAATGTCTGAGGGCATGTTCATTTAATAAACTATGAATGTTTTATATCCATGTAACGGGAAGAAACTCATCTAACTGAGCATTTATATTTATATAAACAAAAACACAATGCTAACGCTGAGCCTCTGAATTAGCAACGAGCAAAAAATGCTAACAGATTTACTGCACCGAAACTCACTCATAAATATTATTTATCCATTCAGCACATCCAACCCATGGATCTGATCGTGAGATGACACAGAATCGATGGGTACAGACATTATCACTCAATGATACGAACTCGCGACTTTATAAACAAAAACAGACATCAAAACATGTGGCAAGTACAAAAAAAGTAAAAAATAATTTTTGGACGGACACTTGCGATGTCTGTCCTTTTATGCTGAGTGCTTAGTTATACTGTATGCCGGTCATTCTCTTGTGTTGTGAGTCTGTGTTAGAAAAGCGACTAAACCTTTCTGTGGAGACACACTTTATGTTTTTCTTAGGAGTGCAAAACCCTTTTCTTTTGGAATATTCGTTTTCTCCTGTTTTTGCATTAGAGTAGGTAAGATTTTTGTACATTTATTTTTCTCATTTGTTAGGTAAGATTTTTGTGTTAAAAGGTTTTCTTTGTTTTGTGGTTTTGCTACTCCTGTGTGTAATTTAATTTTGGGTAATTCAATTTACCAAACGCTTTCTCTGTTTTGGCGTCCATGTTCTTGGAAGTGGGAAAAGTGGGGAGAGTGCATTTTATGCTGCGCTTAGGTTCCCGTAGGTCTGGGCGTAACATAATTGGGGGTTCGTTCATCATGAACGAACCCCCAATTATGTTACGCCCAGACCTACGGGAACCTAAGCGCAGCATAAAATGCACTCTCCCCACTTTTCCCACTTCCAAGAACATGGACNAACCTGTGAGTTGGATGTAGAAAAGTCAGAATCAATATAGATGTTTTTTATTTTAAAGAAAATTCAGATTGAACATAGTAAAACAAAAAGGTGGGGGCTTCGCGCACGCAATTTTGCTCCAGAGTGAAGCTGTCTCTATGTCTGACATCTCAAAACCGATAAGCAGGTTTATTGCTCATGGATTATCAGAAATCATTTCCAAGGGACACAGACACATTGGATTAACCTATGGATTAACTTCAGCATCGTTTTTTATCGTTTTAATGCCATTGAAGACCACTTTTGACCAGACTACAANTCAGGGAAAAGTCATTGAAAATTATTGGTGAAAAAGTGTTTGAACTAGGGCTGAACGATTAATCGATTTTAAATCAAAATCGCGATTTTAAATGATGCGATTATCTTTTCTTTTTTTTTTTACTTCTTGTGTGTCAGTCATCCACACCAATCAGAAGTGCTGTGCTCCACATGTACCAGCCATTGTTAATCAATCAGAAGTGGCCCATGATAGAAGGTGATAGACAGATTGATCCAATCACCTGCCAAGTATCTTTGAAAGTGCCTGCCCTTTCCAAATGGCTTCCAATGGAGCTTTCCTAGATGGTTTGGTGAAACAAACCATCTGAGTCAGGTTAGTAATGCTCCATCACATGTTTTACATCTATTACAGGGTGAATCTTAAACTGAAGCTTGACTTTAAAGCAACCCAACAGAAGTTTCATGTAAGTTTAGTTCTTTCACTCGTAGCTCGGGGTGCAATCGCAATATTTGTCAGAAAAATCGCAATTAGATTTTATCTCCAAATCGTGCAGCCCTAGTTTGAACCCTGTAAAATAGGATGATGAATTGATAAACATTATAGCTGCTCAACCTCTAGCCCAGCGGTTCCAAAAGTAAGGGAGACCCTGAGTGGGGGTCACGAGATGATTACAAGATAAAAATTGAAAAAAAAGATGTGAAAAAAATTGTATCAATTTTTTTTTTATGACTAATGATAAAGTGTGCATAGACCATTTTCAGGGGCGGACTGGCCATCTGTAGAATTTCCCCGCAGATGAACCACACCATAACTCTGTGTTTGTGTGCATATGCTGCACTGTGCCCTTGTGAAGCCCTCAAATGTACATGTTCAAATGTTTGCATTAACTCGCACCAACACAGTTGTAAGTTGAGAGCAATGTTTTTGAAGAATATTTTCAAACCTCAGAGCTATGCTTCACCTGAGTCGTCTGAAAGTGCTGGTGGAAGAACCCAAAGAGAAACCCAAAGAGGAAAGAGGGCAGAAGGACGAAGATGAAGGACGTTACTCCTCTTCCTCTGCTGACGGACTCTCCTGCACCCAGCTGAAACCCTCCTGAAGCTGAAGTCCTCTTCCAGAGCGAGGGCCTTCGGTTAATGTGGCCCTCAACCCTCAGGCAGTATGGACCTCAGAGTCCTCTCTCTCCTCTGGGACTGTTGGCTGTCACCTCCAGCAGCAACATCACATGGTCTTAGATTATGTCCGTTCTGGAGTTGTGTGTTGGATGAAAAGATGCAATCCTCTAAAAAATTACTCGGCCAGAGACTAAATCAAATTATTTTTTTAAATATGTTGAAGTTGTTTAAAGTGTTAAAAAAACAGCTTTAAAACATTGGATACAGCTCACAGTTGTGGAAGTTTGAAACTTGAAAAAGGACACAGAGACAAAAAATATAGACCAAATAAACATTTTGTAAGTCCTCTTTTTTGACATTTGACCGGGGTTACAGGAAATGATGGTTCTTAAAGCTCTAATACAATAAAAGGGATATCAGACGGAAAGAGCAGTTGGATGGTGGATTGTTTTACTTTTGATGGAGCTAGGTCTAGACCTCCGCTTCCAGTTTCTGTGCTGGTTCTGCAGTGTCTCAGTGATGTTAAAGACTATCCCTCTCTGAAGGAAGAAATTACCAAACAGATGTGCTAAAAGTGTCATTGATATCAGAAATAGCCAATATGAATAAAGGACATAATGTTGTTTATTACATGTTGTTTGTTATGTTGTTTGTCACATCTGCACTGACATTTTCTTCAATGATAACTCTTTCTATAAATAGCCAAGCTGTCAGCGATGCTCTCCGGATGGCAGTGTCACATTGCTAGTTGGATGCATTAACATGTTAGCATTCTGTCAAGTAAAACTAAACCTTAGCTTGGAAATGTGTCAGAAGTTGAACCCATTAATTTGATCTTTTTTTATTTTGCTATACATCAGCATGTTTACCATGGATGTGAGCATGCTAACTGGAGCATTTTAAAATGTGAACATGTCAACTGTCACTGTAGCCATATTAACATGCTATCATTAAAATGTCTAAATGCCAACTTTTCCATGTTTTTACGTGCTAACATTACTCCATGCTAAATGTGGACATCCAATTGCTGACAATATGAATGGTAACACACATTAGTTACAATATGATGCTGATGAAGAGGCCATGCTGAACTCCAATGTCTAAACCCCAACAAGAAGAATGTGGTGATCTATATGATCAGACCTTTGGAACTTAACACTTTGTTTATTTGGGAAAGCTCTTAGTTCAACACAGGTGAACAATATTAATATTTGTATTCATACCTGCACCGTTCTATACACATCTACCCGTGGCCCAGATACAGCACCCAGGACATAACAAGTGAAACAGATACAAAACTGTGAAACGTGGAAATATTATAACTGTCTGTCTGAGCAGAGGGGGTGTAAAACTGAATCAGGGTTTAATGCCAAGCAGGTTTATACATGAGGAATTAGCTTTGTTGCACATAAACACAGTAAGAGGAATACTTTCTAAAAAAGGAGCAAAAGGTAATACTATAACAAAAACTATTATAACAAATGAGAAAATAAAAAAAATGTGTACAGTACAAATATAACATACTATAATGTAATGTGGAGAGCTGTGCAGACTTTAATTGTCTGTCAGAGAATCGGTGATGTCATCTGCAACAATCCACGCTCCGAGGCGTAACACAGCTGCATATAATATTACTTTATGTTATAATAATTTATGGCATTAAACTAACAAATTAGATATAGATACTGGAATTTACCACCACGTGGTAGCAGGCTGTGTGAGACAGAAAGCATGTGACCAAGGTTTGCATAGTTACTCTCTGGGTAGACTGCGCCGCACTGTTAGTTTCATGGATGTATAATAAGAAATAAGTTTAACCATAGGGTTTTAAATGAGTATTAGAACTGTTGACAACGCTGTTAGTGCTAACACGGAAAAATGAAGGAGTTTGCCTTTTTAACCGGTGGTGAAAAACTGGGAGGGGCTACATACAATCTGTATGCCCCTTTAAGTTATTTGTGGTGGTGTTGTGTCCATGTTCACCATACTTCTCAACCCTCCCGATTTCATTGCCCTCTCCCGGTTTCCTCCCGGTGTCATATTTCTCCCGCATTTCTCCCGATTTCTGCAAAATCAGATTTACTCAGGACTGTTTCCACTCGGACTTTAATACAGCTACACCATTGTTTGGTTTCCATGGTAACACGTCTCTTTAGTAGCGCGCGCAACTGAAAGTCTGAGAGGGTGGGCAGATAGTCACAGAAAACAGAACAAGAATCGACAACTACTCTACTCTCTGCTCACTCCTTTCCTGTAAAATACAGGTCCAGCACACCCCCCCCCCC